GGTGCGGAGACCTGGGGCCAGCTGGAGAGAAACCCAGATGATCTCATGTGCGGGGGACATGAGGTCAGGGATGAGCATGGAGGGGAGTGACGACTTCACCCAGATGGCTACCCCTCCCCCATGTGCCGTTCTGTCCAACCGAAGTGGTGAGCTGTATCCAGGGAAGCTGATGTCAGAGGGAAGCACTTTCTCCGCAGTGAACTTCGTTTCTGTCACAATTGCTACGTCGGGTTGATGCTGCAGGAGTGCGTGCTGTAGGTCGGGAAGTTTGCTGGCTAGGCCGAAAGCGTTTGTGCAGAGAATGCGAAGATTCTTGCTACCCTTCATTGCAGGAGGAAGTAATTAAAAAAAGGGGAGGGACATTTGGCGTAAGCGGGTGCATAGTTACATGTATGGCTAAGGGTCCTAAAATCTAATGAAATACCTAAAAGGATCAAGCTAAAGATAAGAATGAGGAAGCTGGAGGAAGACACGAGGTTGAAGTAGGACAGGGAAAACCAGATTGTGTTTGTATACCTAGGGCTACACAGGGGGAGAAGATGTTATCTGCGCCAAGTTATCTGCTTGTTGCTTGACGCAGTGATCTTTTTCGCCTTCTTCTTTCTCTGGTTATCACTGGAAACTACCAATGGGGAGGTCGACTCCCGCGGCCTCTTGTGGAAGCAGTCTGCCAATATCGCCAATGCTCTAGCCTCATCGCCCCCTGAGAGTTTCCCCTCAGGTGGACAGTCCGACTCCTCGGCCCAGCTGCTGTCAGGAGACAGAGTCAGGTCAAGTTCCACGTGGTTGCTTTGTTTATCATGCTCAGGTCGCATTTTGACAGTTACGGCAGAAGCTGAGTCTTGGCTGCCATGTGTACCCGTGCCCTCCTCCAGGGGTCTCGAGTCGACCTGACCAGCTGGAGAAGCGCCCAGGCTCTCGTGTTGTGGCTGATCCTCGCGCGCTTTGTCTGCACCGATGACCTCCTGGGGTCCCGATTTAACTGCAGAGGCTAGGCTTTCAGGCAGTGGCTGATCCTCGCGCCCTTTCTGGGGTCCCGATTTGACCCTGTTAGCGTACGTTCCACGAGGGGTGCGTGGCCTGGTGGGGCAGTCCGCGGCCAGGTGACCTGGGGACTCGCATACCCTACAGGTGCGTGGTTGATCCTTATACCGTACGGCAGAGGGTGCCCAATAGTACCGTACACGGAATCATGTAAACATTCCTGCACATGAACATAGTTCAGACGTTCATCTATGAACCGTGCTGATACATGGAAGTCACATTGTTTAAATTGTACTTTGAAGCAAAGGCATATCCCCGTTCGCATTCCGCAAGGGATAATGCCATCATGAAACTTTGTATTCAATGTAGATACGAAATGTTGATCAAAAAATGGTACAGATTTACTCGTGTAATCGTTCATCCTGAGTGAATTGCAAGTGTTCGAATTGCGTGTGTGTGTGTGTGTGTGTTTGTGTTTACAATACCAATGAAGTTGTAATGGAAAGCACACACTCATTTCCAGTATTGATCATCTAGGGTCCACCAGGTATTAAGCTCACAGAACTAGGGATTACAAGCTGAAATGTTCAATTTTCCATCTCTGCGGCACTATTCATGTACATGACTGTACTTGTAGGTGTATGGGAGTATGTGTAATGCATACTTCACCCCCTCACACGCGTCAGTATGGCATGCAAAGAGGGAGAGAAAGTAAAGGTTGGCAGATTCAGCTTGCATCATGCTTACATCATACGAAGTGTCCTCAGAAGCCCCGTGCAAACGCCAGTACATAGTATAATTATACATCACCGGCAAGGAGGTCTTCAGTGATATGTCATAGACATTATGGTAAACGTCCGATTCAAAAATCACACGGAACATGACGGACAGCTCGCTTAAGAGTCCTTTAACAAGCGCACTGTAAGATGGAGGGCATTTGCCACGCACCCTGACACAAAGCATGCCAGAAGGAATTTGTGGATCGTGTCCTCCTTTGGCAGTCTAACCGTTCTGCAACGTGGACGCTTCCAGAAAGTCTTGACTCGACTCCAGTGAACAATTCGCAAGGTCTCGCCCACGAGATTAAAAATTCAACTCGTCGTCGAAGCATTCCATCTTCGTTCTCGCTTCCACAACACGCGGCATAGCAATCAGGGCCTAGTGGATGGTAGCAATAATAATTATTGCTAATTGGCGAGTGGAACTGATTGTCTGACCTTAGAACAAGGGACCCTGATTAGACAAATAAGCTAATCATGAGCTCACACAGACCAGCAACAATGGTTGTAGCAGTATACATGTAGTTCAGCCAAGGACGCGCGACATCATTGTCCTGCCAGCCACTCCAGTGCGGCGTCTTTTGGTGGTTGGTGTGCGTTCGCCAGTACATGTAGTCCCAAAGGCTGAGTCCGAGAAAAGCTGGCTGGCCCATGAAGACACACGTACATACATAACGTTATACTAGAGAGAGGTTAAGTTGCACGTTATTTTTGACGTGACGTGATAGTTCACCTCGGGTTATTTGGCTCCCGCGTTCGAAAACAACGCGAGTGACCTGCAGCTCACGTCGAAATGTGGAGTTTTACGCAAAATTTGACGTGAAATTGCGCGTCACGTCAGAAATATCGTGCATCGTAACCTCTCTACTGAATACACGTACATGTCATGTACATGTACGTACATGCACACCTTTACCGGTACCTGTGCGGAGCCCGTCCATTCTAATTGTGTGAGTTAATTGACATTGTTTGACATGTAGTGAATATATCGCGCATGCACATGCATAATGTAGATACAATCATGTACATGTTGAACGGGATTGAGCTAGTGCGTTCGTGAAAAGCTCTTTACCCGCAGACTAGGGAAATGTCAGTGCTCTTCTGCTGCAAGATGGTGTCTGCTATCAATGTGGGATCCGCTAGACGCTTCCTTCATCGCCGGCTTTCAGTGATCGGCTCAATGTCATTCCAATCACTAGTGCCTGAACCTGGAGTTTGCTGACAAACTGGCGTTTAGTCGGATAGAGTATGGGTTTGGGCCGTGTCAGACAAGAGTCCAGAGACTGCGTGTAGTTCTTCATCACGAGTTCACATTGGTGATATCGCCATATCCATGGGTCTCCGAAAAGGACCCTGCGTCACCTGTGGCGCACAATCAAGTCCACGTCTTCTCCGTGTCTATTGTAAAATCCATCCGAACGAGTATGTCTGACAAAGTGCGTCTTGTCAAGACTCGGTCGTACGTGCAATGGAGTATGGTGGAAACGTGACCTCGATACTCTTGCGGCCATTTCTTTACAACACACAATCAAGCTCGCATGGCACAGTACAGAGTGTTGGCACTATTATGGATGCAATTCTGTTCCTCCCACTTACTGTGATTTCAACCAAAACACTTCAGGTTATGACCGACCGCAAGAACCTTTCATCAGGCCATGGGTTTGAGGGCGGACAAAGAGTTACTCGTGGTTGCGAGTTTCCAATTACAATCACCATCGCACAAACAAGTGAAAAATGCTCGCGGCAAGAAACTTCTCACCTCAGATTGTGCCGGGTGTTCGAACCCATTTCTATTGTTGGCCGAAACACTTCTCCATCGGACAAAAGACCCCCGAAGTGGATTTGTCGATGTTCAAGTGTGACACCATCCGCTAACAATGCTGGATACTGGCTTGCTTCAGGTCTAGACCATGGAGTCGGATCGGCATTCCATTTCAAGAATCCGAATGTTACGATGTACTCCCTTCATTGTCCACACTATCGTTACTGGTGCGCAATTCCGTGAGCGCGCCCTCTGCCATCTCGACACGCGCATCGGGAGAGTGAAGAAGGCAGGTTGCTAGCTCAACGATTCCTGCGGAGAAGTCGCCTCACCTAAGTCATCTTAGCCTATATACATGCAAGTGCAACGGGTCGGGATGCAGGCCGAGGGTCGCAATCAACTCGTACTGCACGTAGCACAGCCACAGTTCGAACTGGGTAGCTGAATCTCTGGACCTAGGCTAAAGGTCACTGAATAGCTGAGACTACTTCCTACCTACAGGTATCGCAGTGTCTAAAGGATGCATATGCACCCCCCCCCCCCCCACCCCCCACCCCCCCCCCCCCCCCCACACACACACACAATCTCATTGACGTCACGAGGCTACACACATGATACATATCATGTATAATGACATTATGTACATGTACATGAGGATCAGTCTCAAGATCGTGCATGCCAGCGTCCTTGAATCTACTGATACTTTTATAATGTCAGACGCAACGCCGCACACGCACGCACGCACGCACAGACACGCACACAACTGCATGACTGTACTACTCGCGCACGCACATGGACGGGATTGATGGCACAAATATTGTGTAGATCTACCCCTCGCGTCGCACGTAGGTCTATTTGTGATTTTTCTCGTACCAGAGAGTAGGTCTCGGACCAGTTACAGCAGTAAAGCCCAGTCCAGTCAATACCAGTGGATGTGATGTGAGTATTCAGATCAGGGAAACCACTCAAATTTGTATGGATCCACACAAAAACAGGATCCAAGTGGATCCAAAAGTCACTGTTGTCATAGCTCCACTGCGAGCTGGCTGTGACGTAAATGTAGCACGTTCAAGCCCAAGCTGTCTGGGTGCGTCCTTTCTCATCATGTGTCCGTTTTGGCCATCCACACGTACATGTATCCTAAAACTATCATTATACTAAAATTTTATTATACTAAAGATTAGACAACGCAGGTACATGCCATTGTACAATACGCCTCTCAATGAAATCCGACCGCATGAATCAAGAACATCGTCATGTTACTCATGTATGTGCTGGGTGCCGTGCAGCTCTAGACCTCCCTGGAACACTAGGCTGTGAAATGGTCCAGGGCACAAACTACTTGCCTCCCAATCGATCGGATTTCATTGAACACTAGTAGTACATGCACGTGCCTGCTTCTGCTTGCTGAACTCCTCCAGAGAATGGTCACGGGAACATTCGTAAAAACACATTAGGAAGAAGAGGACGAGAGATAGAAGACAGATGCGTACATTAAATTTTATAGAGGAGTGCTACAAAGAATGCAGCCAGAAGAGCGAAGAGAGAGAGGTGAACAAGGGAAGTGAAGATAAGCGTCAGCGAAGCAAAAAAATCTTTTTGTTAGTCAGACAATAATTATTACAGATGTATCAAGATCATGATTCTTTTCTGACCGAGCAGTCATCTATCGCGTATAAAGGACAACATTTGGGTAAACTCGTTACTCGAGTCTGCTGATGTGCGCCCTTTTCCTAGGCACTGCACTTCATTAGACAGTACTAAACTCAAGACATTGTAAAGTGAGCCTATGCAGCAGCGTGGTGTTTCGACGGTAATCTATATACGTCACCTGATTCTGCAACAAGCACAGATTGTTTGGGCGCAACCCTATTACCGGCGGTGAGATGCGGAGGCTTCAGTGCCGTCCGCGGCTTAGCAGCGACGACAGGCTTGGATTTCCGATTCTCGCTCTTGACAATGACCACCGAAGAGGCAGGTCCGATGGGAAGGGACATTGGGCGGCTGGCAGTGGATCGGCTGGTACTGATGCGGCTCTGTGACTGTCTCCGTTTGACCAGCCCGGTGTTCTTGAGCACTCGGGGCGGTTTGTTGGGCCCGACTATGGCCGATGACGAGTACTCAAGTCCAGGATTGGACGCAGCCAGGTTAGACTCCACGGGAATAAGATCAACGGGAGGCGGCGGTGGTGGAAAACCAGGACTTCCAGCCTGCTGCAGACAGTCCTTGGGTGCCATGCCCCTCGGCAGACTGTCAACCGGCTGTCGGTAGTAATGCTGTGGGGATTCCTTACTTTCCGGTGGCACCGGTATATTTATGCTATCTATAGGTTGGTGGTATTCTGAGTTCGACGATGCCAGGATCACCTTGCTAGAATCAAACGTAACTCTATGCTCTTCAGGCTCATTGGCGGCCTGCCGTGCTGCAGTGGGTTGCTGCTTGTCTGGTTCTCGAACCCAGGTGAAGCTATCACTTGGCTGCATGGCCGATTCGTAGCTGCTTCCCACTGATATTCGCCGTCGTTTGTTCTGTAGGATGCGTCGGAAGCTATCAGTGACCATCATCGACTTGGCTTTGGAGTTACGACGTGACTTTTTGGACGGCCTGTGCTCTAAGGCCGATGGTTGTGGAGCACTAGAGAGTGGTGCCGGCTGGGGATGAAAGGCAGCAGCAGCATTGCTACTTTGTGTGATGTTCCGTACTGGCAGTTCAGGGTCTGCTGTGTCTGTGGTGCTGCGTGCGTTGATCTGTGCAATGTCTTCCGCCAGGTCGGTGTAAATCTCATCCAGATCCGGCGGTGTCGAGTACCAGGTATCCGGATGTTCGTGAACTTCGTCGCCATCCACACCATTGTATGCATACGGGTCCAGTTCACCGTCGCCGCCACCATGTTGAAGGTCCGTTGTATCATAAATATGGACGTGGCAGTGGGCCTCGGAGTACAAATTCGGCATGGCTACCGTGTCGTCATAGATGTTGTGATCATCCGACTCGTCACAACTCTCCAGCACCGGTATGTCATACTCGAGTTCATTCGGTGTGGCCAGGACAATTTCCTTCTCATCGTCCGTCATCGGGGCAAACGCCAGTCTCCCGACCATCTGCTTGAGATCAACTGCATTGGAGCCATGACGCGATTCCGCCAGTTTATCATAGATGCTTTCGGATTTCGATGGGGACGGCACGGGGCTATTGCTACGAGGCGGCTGCAGCCTATCGCTGGTTGCCTGGCTGGTTTCGTCACTCTCGATAACCGTATTGAGAGTGGAGGTTTTGTACGGCTGGTCCATCACTGGCAAGGTGTTAGCACCGTCGCTGTCAGAGGAACCCATCCCACGGCTCAGCATGGATATCATGGTCTTGTCGCAATCGAACGCTCCAGGATTGTACTGTATTGATGCACTTGACGACGTGTCACTTTTCTGCGAGAGAGAGAGAGAGAAAACAACAAAAAAATGCAGCGATGAGAAGTCAGAGGGTTTCATGGACTATCATATAAACCATATTTTCCAGAGTAAAACCCGCACTTGAAACAATTGTAATTCACCCGAAAATGTCCAGTGTGCCTTATGCTATGATGGTCAAATTAACGGTGATAAACAGGCTGGATGTCTGTATTTCGTGACAAAACATCTGGGTGTGGCTTACACTCCAGTGCGGCTTATGCTCCAGAAAATATGGTACCCACACTGTTCTTCTATAGCGAGACAGCACCACCACTGACAAGCATTCTCAGTTGAACGCATTAAGTTTAGCGATACAATGCGATACCCTTTTTCAGCCAGCATACAATTGCCAAATGGATAGAGCCAGACAGATCAAAGGAGCTGTTGCCTGTACATAGAGTTTGAAAACGATGGGACCACCGCATTCAACATGATCTGGTGGAATGATTATTGCTGTACAATGTCGTACAACTTTAACGACCATGGCTATCTCACTATCTTACTGTATCTGACATAAGTATCCGAGAGATCCAGCTCAGCACTAAGGCTCGACTATAAAGAGCAGTAGCTATCTGAGAAACTTGCTTTATCCACACACCTTCACACACATACAAGCAGCCTCTGGGCTGAAGATGAGCCTCGCCAGAAAATTCGAATCATTTTCTTCTTCATTTTTTTGGTGTAGGCCAGAGACTGGTTGGAGAGTGTTTTGAGGATGTATGGATGTAACGCAAAGCTACAGTGGAGTGTGCACATATTGGGATGTGTATTACCTCATCCTTGGGTGATTGTAATAACCGTCGTCGCCTCCAGCGCCTCAGCCACATGATGCCCACGATGACAAGAAGTAGGAGAATGATGCCGGTGCCGACAGCGATAACAATCGTCATTGGTGAGCTGAACACGACAGGGTTGTGCTTAAAGTCAATGTTCAGCGGTGTGGCAGCACCGCCCTGTGTACTGCCATTGTCTGTACGCTGCTGTGGTGTTGTTACGGTGGGCGGGTAGAAGCGATAGCCTGCACAGCAAACAAATCCACGCCAATATTATAAAACAGTCCCGCCAGAACCGGTCCGCATGGTCAGATCATCACCGGACCAACTTGTTCGCCACCACCAACGCGTGTATACTGCGGAGAAAGCTATGGGTACCCACTATATCATACACAAAGCATGAAAGGCCATAGTATTCCAATCAAAAACTGCTTCTGACGGTCCTGTAAAACTTTTAGTGTATGGTTAACTAGTGTGGTAGAGTGTGGGCGTGGTGGGGGCTGTGACCCACCAGCCTGCATACTTTCACAGGAAGCGTGAGTTTCAAAGTCTGAAGTAAATGTTGCACAGTTGCTGACTGGATGACAAATACACCATGGCCTTGCACCTCTGGCCTAGAGTGAAGGTCCTTGGATCGAATCTCGGTGGATATACACAATTTTTATTCAGATTATGTTCACATCGTCAATCCCCCAAGACTTATAAATACCTTGATAGGGTTAACATCAACCTGATTTCGGAATATGGACAGACCAAGGTTTTAAAAAGCTCATACTTCTGTGAAACATTGGCATTTCGCAAGAAAGGCATATTCGAATAATCGTTCGAAAATTTCAAACGAGCAAGTATTCAAAATTTCGTGCTCGATCGATTTTCAAATGCCTGTCCCATACTGCGCATCCACTGGTACAATAACTGAATACTCGATGGAATATTATGAATGAGTGATTGATTGGTCAAAATCGATAACCGTTTCAACCCCAGTTCTTTCTCTAGACTTACCATCGACGCACTCCGACGGAGATCCATACCACTTCTGATCGCTAGCACATGTTAGTACTCCGGTGCCCATCAGTGTGTATCCAGTAGTGCAGGTCAGCCGGACACTACTACCGCTGTATGTCTGTAACCGCGACCATTCACCATGTGCAGGATGGTCTAGCTTGCTGCACGTCAACCCTGAGAGCACACACAAATTCATGCGTGCACCCATGCACCAGGGCATAGATTAACGGCCGGACATCGGACATTTTCCGGCCATTTTCGGCCACTGACCGGACGTTTTCAATTTCACCGGACATAGTGTCCGGTCAGAAAAGGAAAAAAAGAGCAGCGACCTTTCGACCTTTTTATGCAGAGTTGGGCTTTCTTCGGAGCTTCGTGCCAAATGCGACTTGCATATCGTACAACTAACACGTCTACACCGTAGCCTCGATCCCTCAAGCGTAGACTTCACCATAATCCGCCTGTAGCAACGCGGTTGCTACAGTCAATTCACACGTTCGACCTTCGTTCGACCTTTGCCAGGCTTTGGTACATGGTGTCGACTTCGCACCTGAATCGATGGGTTGAACTGCACTGCAGTGCAGTTGTTCGCTCTTGGGAGGAAGATGTCATCTTTTATTTTTCACTCTTTCACTGACCAGGAATGCAGATAGTCTTTTAGAATGTCTTCTGGAAAGCGAAAGGGAGATTCAGAGGACTTGCCGCCGGGCAAAAAAGTCCGTGGTGTGAAGGCCGCTACTTGCGATAAGTGGATCTCGGACAATGATGCAGAGCTGACTACTTCCGCCTGGCTGATTTATGACAGGCAGAAGAACGATCGGCTGTTAGCAGAATGTTTGAAGTGTTCCGTGTGCATCAAGTTTGTAGACAGAGTCCGCAGTTGTAAAAACTTCAGCGAGGCTTTCATAACCGGATTCAAGAACCTGAGAACATCAGCGTTCAAGGATCATGCTGGAACGGAGATGCATAAACGAGGAATGAATCTTTTCCGCAGGCAAGAGTGTCCCGCTCGAAATGCCCTCGAATTCGCTCCAATTGCGAAGGCACTGTGCGAGATGGACGATGGTGCTGCCGCTATTGCACGACGCAAATTCGAACCAACCTACCTTCTCTGCAAGGAGCATATCGCGTTCGCAAAATTCTTGACTGCAACGCTTTTTTGTACATACATTTGTCGTCAGTAAATAGTTCAGTTTCTAATACAAATAAATTGGCGAATTGTACATAGTAATGTGTGAGATACGTCCACATAATGAGTCATTGTGAATATACTCCAGTACTACTAAAAAAAAAGAAGAAACACCCTGAAAATGTGTTGTGGAAAATGTCCGGGCATGTCCGGACAGATTTCAAAACGGAAGGACATTTGTCCGAGCTAAATGAAATCCTTAAGCTATGCCCTGTGCACGTATACACACACACACACACACATTCACAGACACATGCACAGGCGTGCACAAACAGACACAATCATACTACTATTATCATAGGCATAATGCATCGAGACCGAAGACGCATTGCATTGAGATAGAAGGCATACTGCATCGAGGCCGAAGGCATATTGCATTGAGACCGAAGGCGTATTACATTGAGACTGAAGGCATATTACATTGAGACCGAAGACGTATTGCATTGAGACCGAAGGCATAATGCATTGAGACCGAAGGCATATTACATTGAGACCGAAGACGTATTGCATTGAGACCGAAGGCATATTATATTGAGACCGAAGGCTTACTGCATTGAGACTGAAGCCATTATTGCATTGAGACCGAAGGCATATTGCAATGAGACCGAAGGCATAATGCATTGAGACCGAAGGCATATTGCATTGAGACCGAAGGCATATTGCGTCGAGACAGAATGCATAATGCATAGAGCCGAAGACGTTTTGCATCGAGACCGAAGACGAATTGCATTGAGACCGAAGGCATACTGCATTGAGACTGAAGGTGTATTGCATTGAAACCAGCTATGCAAAATGCGAACATGATCACCTATCCAATACCGGTAGTCTACTATGTTAATTATTCATATCTTTTTGCATCTTTCCCTCGAGTGGGTCTATTGTTATTAGGCAATTGTCTGTTATAGTCACCACTATAAATAAAAATCCAATCCAATCCAATCCAAACCGAAGACGTATTGCGTTGAGACTGAAGGCATATTGCATTGACAAAGAAGGCATATTGCTTTGACAGAAGGCATAATGCATTGAGACCGAAGACGTATCTTGCCAGTACTTACTCTCACAACTGGTGGGTCTTCCCGACCATGTGCCGTTCTTCCTGCAAACCCGATACACCGAACCACGGAGCTCAAAGTCTGCTAAGCAGCCAAATGTAATGCTGCTACCTGCTGACGGGAACAGTAGACTTGTCCGATAGTAGCCCACCTGGTTCAGGGTTGAGATGTCTGGGCATTTGATACCTGCAGCAAAGAATGTGGAAAACAGCCACTACCGTAAGGTCTGCAGCTCTCGCTCTCTGTTGTGTGTGTGTGTGTGTGTGTGTGTGTGTGTGTGTGTTGACGTGTGTGTGTGTGTGTGTGTGTTGAAGTGTATTTGTGTGTGTGTGTGTGTGTGTGTGTGTGTTTGTGTGTGTGTGTGTGTGTGTGTGTGTGTGTGTGTGTGTGCGGTTGTGTGTGTTATTAAATAGTATCATATCAACTCTGCACATGTGTCATGCATAATGTGGTCCAAAGGCAGCCCTCAGCATATCCAGCATTTGCACCAAATGTCAAATCACCTTCAATGACTTGCTTGACAATACAATGTGACACACAAACGTTGCCTAGAACTCACGTTCGCATTTCACTTTGAAGTGCTCCCATGTTCCCTCCCTTCCACACCTCATCAGCGCTGAATCTCGGCCGAAGAGTGCTGGCTCCACAAAGCCATAGCTATCAAGACACTGTACCCTGACAGCGTCTCCAAACTTGTACAGGCCAGAGCTGGGGCTACGAGTTCTGTCGAAGATAACTCTTGCATTGGCTGGCGCACTGGGGCCCGAGCACTCCAGAGCTGTCAAAAGACACAAAATGAATAACGGTAGGATTGGATTGTTGGGTTATAGCCAAATCAAAAACAACATCAGTAGCTTATTGCCTTTCTGGGGAGAAAATCAGCCAAGCCTACATAGGGGGGGGGGGTTAGAGGGATAGATAGATGGAGAGAGAGAGAGAGAGAGAGAGTGAAAGAGGGAGGGAGGGAGAGAGAGAGAGAGAGAAAGAGAGAGAGAGAGAGAGAGAGAGAGAGAGAGAGAGAGAGAGAGAGAGAGAGAGGGGGGAGGGAGAGAGAGAGAGAAAGAGAGAGAGAGGGGGGCGAGGGAGAGAGAGAGAGAGAGAGAGAGAGATGAAGAAAGAGAGAGAGAGAGAGAGAGAGAGAGAGAGCCGGGGAGGGAGGGGGGAGTGAGTGAGAGCAATTGTGTGAGTGTGTGTTTGTGTGTGTATATGTGTGCATGTGTGTGCATGTGTGTGAGTATGTGTTTGTGTGTTTGTGCATGTGTGTGCGCACGCACATGTGCGAGCAAACTTAGGAAGATCTAACAAAACATGTACCGTATTTTCCGGAGTATAGTGCGCACTTTATATGTGCTATTTTAGGCCCTAAATCGCAGGTGCGCACTATGCTCCGAATATGAAATGCATGTACTTCAATGAAGATTGACGTGCGCACTCCCAATGAAGATTGGGGGTGCGCATTATACAAAGGTGCGCACTATACTCCGAAAAATACGGTATCATACACTTCAGTAATTCAAAATAAGTACAACAATTCATTAATTGAAACCTCAGGATATAGACACACAGCTGTGACTGTGATCACTACTATACTGCCCTACGTTTTCTATTAGCCATGCATGTTCACACACTCACACATGTACCGTCCCCCCTCGTACACAAGCATCATCACTGGGACATACACACGCACATCCACAGATCCATATGCACGCACTCATAAACACATACACTCACATACACATGCACACACATACACACAAGCATACACAAACACACACACACACACACACACACACATATACACCTACACACACGCACAAAAGCTTTAAAAGTCTGTACTCACACTATGCGAAGTATAACAACAGAAGGGAAGGGAGGTTGCTTGGAGCGGGGGCATTAAATTCATACTTACGTTTACATTGGGGTACTGGCTTGTCCCACACAGTGTCTCTGCCATTGTTGACACAGCGGCTGATGCTCTGACCGACGATGACGTATCCCTGACGACAACCCCACATCACCAGTGAGCTGTAGATGAACATACCTCCAGCGCCCGCTGCCACACGGTAGCCATTCTCCGGAGCACCGGGATCTCCGCACGATGGTTCTGATGCACACAAACAAAAGAAATTCATAGCTCGCTTGAGACTCAGGACTCGGACCAGGGACTCTCAGTTATGGCCTGCGATGCTTTACCACTATTAATAAGCTATGTAGGTGACATTATCATTATTTGCTCCTTTGTGGCGCACACCATTTTTCGGAGCACCGGGATCTCCGCATGATGGTTCTGATGGACACACAAAGAAATCCATCGCTCGCTTAAGACTCGGGACTCGGACCAGAGACTCTCGGTTATGGCCTGCGATGCTTTGCCACTATTAATAAGCTATGTAATTGTATGTTGACGACGGTATCATTATTTGCTCCTTTGTGGCGCACACCATTCTCCGGAGCACCGGGATCTCCGCATGATGGTTCTGATGGACACACAAAGAAATCCATCGCTCGCTTAAGACTCGGGACTCGGACCAGAGACTCTCGGTTATGGCCTGCGATGCTTTGCCACTATTAATAAGCTATGTAATTGTATGTTGACGACGGTATCATTATTTGCTCCTTTGTGGCGCACACCATTCTCCGGAGCACCGGGATCTCCGCATGATGGTTCTGATGGACACACAAAGAAATCCATCGCTCGCTTGAGACTCAGGCCTCGAACCAGTGACTCTCGGTTATGGCCTGCGATGCTTTACCACTAATAGTAAGCTACTCAATCTGCGAACAGAACTATTTCGTCCTTTGTGGACTCAAAACTATGCAATTATATGTTGATGACGCTATTATTATTTGCTCCTTTGTGGCACACACCATTTTCCGGAGCACGGGGATCTCCACACAATGGTTTTCATGCACACACAAAGAAATTCACGGTCCGCTTGAGACTCAGCTAGAATGAGTTTTCAGCATACGCAGGAACGCCATCACCCTGCAGAGATCTAAGGAGCAGATGCAGCTACTAAAGCTGCGGGAGGTGACAGTCTCCTCTTGAATTTCAAAGTCTAACAGCGTTCACATCAATACTCAACTTATTCTTTTGCTCACTGAGCAATACAATCTTTCCATTTTCTTTCTTCTGTTTTCTTTTTCAATTTTATCCTCCCTACCCAATATCCCTTTGGTGCGTCCATGGAGCTATGAAGCCGAGACCTCTGGTCGGCGGAGCTTAATGGGCCCCACCACCACATTCCATTATTCATCCCAGTGTCTGCAGATATGTGGATTTTGTAGAGAGAAAAAAAAGAAGAAAAAAGGTGAAATCATCCCACCAGCATAGTGATCTAAGACCGAAAATTCCATTTGCGATTCACACAAACACACGAACACACTCGATTGATCATCTTTATACGTCAGATATGTAGATGATACTCATAAGGCTGAGGCAATGGAGATAGGAATCATCTGAAGAAGAAATGTACTGCCCCCACCAGGACTCGAACCAGGGACAACGATGCTCTACCATGCTCATAGCTGTATCTATACCTGCAGCAATCTAAAGGGTACGCAACCACATAATCAGTTGAGGTGCTTTGGCAAAGTAGCAGCACAGCACTACTTGAAGCAAAACCATGGAAACCGCCAACTCACGTTGTATTCATAAGCAGTTCCACTGACTCACACTGTATGCATAGCCCCTAATACAGGGTCGTAGCACCCGCTACGACTGGTACGACCATGGCCGTACCACTTTTCGAAAAGTGTGGTCCGTCCGGAACGTGCAAAACCATAATAAAAAAATCCATCGATGCATCGATGCATACATGAATGCGCATATGCGCATCACACCTTTTTCTAGACTCGTAGATCTACTCGTATATCTGCCATGCATCTGTGCATGTCCATGCACGTCTCTTCTGACCGTGAAATTATGACTTTATAAACTGTGCCAGAAGTTCCCAGAATGCGGGATTTTGTGTCTTTTTTACAAAATTTCCCCGCGGGACCTCCCCCGGACCCCTCTCCAAAACGGCCTTCGGTCGTACCACTTCCAAAACCCCTCCTACGCCCCTGTAATACAAGCATTTCCACCGACTCACTCTATAATGTAGCGTATAGGCAGCCCATAAGCAGTTGCACTGCCTCACATTGTCTACATAGCTCCCGTCAGCGGTTCTATTGACTCACGCTACAAACATAGTGCCCATAGTGGGTTCCGTGACTCTCCACCTTATATAATTCGCATAACCTCTACTGTTACCGTCGTTAGTAGATAACCCCAGGGTTTCAATATTTGTCTTTAAATGATTAGTTTCTACGGTCTGGACGTGAGTGTACCCGTTTCAGGCATCCGCGGATTTTGATCATTGTCTACTAATGAGATTTGTCGTGTAACCGATTTCATGCTAACAAGGGTAGATCTGTACCAAGAAAGGGTTTTGTGGTAACTCACCGGAGGATGCACCCAGTGTGCTGACAGTGCTCAACACCGCGGAGGCAGAGCATAATACGCAGAACAACAAGGACAATCAAGGCTGGTTTGTCCCTAAAGCAGGAAACTTTTAAGTTGCGACAAAATTCAAGGAAGTGACTGTCGCATGGGGTCTTGTTGTTCTGTATGGTGACTCACCTATGCACCGCGGTGCACGCCCAGACCATCTTCCCACTGGTGGGGCAGCAGTCACTGGGCCAGCTTCACCTGCGCCGCCACCACCAGTAGCCGATGACGCATTGCTGCTCGTATTCACGTACGGACTGTCCAGGACGGGTTTGAGTGCTGACGGGTGTGGCGTTGAGGGCACGGCACTGTTGATCCCCAGCGGACCGAGCTCCGTGCACACACGGCCGCTGCGCCCCGTCAGGATGTGTCCGGCATTGCAGCGATAGCGCACAACGGCGCCGATGTGAAACGGTCCGCTTGCCGGAACAAATGAACCGTTTTCCGGTCCGTCAGGTTCAGAACATGCTACAAGCAGGTACAAAACGAGAAAAAGCAATAACAGTCAACTTCACGTATAGCGACTGCGGATATAATGACAATTCGCGAATAACAACAGAATTTCCACGCCCAGAGCAAAGTCCCATCTACCTGTATACATATAATGAGACTTCACGAATAAGGACACTTTTCTGATGCCCCGCCAAATGTCGTTATTCGCAAAGTTGACAGTATCATCACCGACGCAAGTAGTTTTGTTTGGAAGGTCATACCGTAGACTTGCATGCATGTTCTTTGTGCATGATATGGTGGTTGCACATGACCTCCTCAGCAGTGGATACGTGTTGGCGGCAAAAGCTTTGGTACGGCTATGGCCTGGCCAACTGGACGTGCTAATATAGTACAATTGTTTTTCGACGAGCGAAATAGTCTTTGAGATGGCAGTTTATTGGACAAATAATAGGAGGTGATCATCATGCAGTGTGCACCGAATGTGGGAATGGTTTGGCAAACGATTCCATGGAACTACAGTTTATCAAGCTGCATGGTTGTGTGGGAGATGACGTGCGTACCCTGCTGTTCGTTTAGACAGCATGATGTGGTCAGTATCAATATACTGATTTGAGGAGGACAGTACTGCCGGATGCTAAAGAACATGGCGCCGAAGAACGACCAGGCTAGAATTTCACCAAGCACTGTACACCAATGTATATATGGCAACTCAACGGTGCATGGACCATAGGACATGAACATAAGAAGTCTGAACGGCCTAGGCTACGAGGCTGAAACTACCCCCCCCCCTCCCCCTCCTCCTCCCCCACTCCCCCCCCCTCCCCCTCCTCCTCCTCCCCCCTCCCCCTCCTCCTCCGCCCCGTGCTTTGGCACCCAACAGAACTGTACCATCGAATCCTCCACAACAACAATGGTCGCGTGGGATTGTACACAATTTCGTCCGTTCTAGAACTCGTTACAGTGCATGCACCGTTCGATTACACAAATTCCATCACCAGAATCAACGGAAACCAATTCCGTTGATTCTGAAGAGAGAGCGGAATTTTAAATTATCCCGCCAGAATTTACACACTTGACGTAAACGCCACGCTAAGTCAACGTGCGTACGACTGTACGGGGTCCCATGTGATCCCTTTTTACGATTTGTACGTGCGGTCGTTCGCTTGCATGGCCGCAATCCGCTGATTCTGGTCATTGGAGACTGGTGTCATAAAACCTGGGTCCAGAATGTGTAAACTAAAATGCTATGGGCATCTTACCTGATAGCATCTGGCTGCTCACAGGCACTGTGGCTGTTGTTGTAGTCACTGCATCAGATACAGTAGTACCAGCAGTAGCAGCAGCAGCAGCACTAGCAGCAGTAGCCCTATCAGCAGTAGTTGGTACACCTTGGCTCAGTGCTATGTGACACACACTGGCCAGCAGTAGTGTTAGTAGTAGAATATTACAGTACTGATCCATCATTGCCTCAGGACGACCGAGGTCATGTACGTACACACTGCTGCACAACAGGTTGCAGAATCAGGGTAGCTGCTCCGCTCAACTGCAGCTCACAATGTGCCAGACGCCTCGCGCTTATGCGAAGTCGATGCTCGTCCAGGAAGCTGGAAGAGGTGCTTACAAACTCGACAATATCAGCAACGTTTCTCCCAGATCCAACAAACACACTTATCCAATATCGATCACCGGATGTGGCAGCTAATTTCTGATCAGCGCCGAGGAATAATTGGCGAGTCCAGATCCCACCGCTTCGTCGGTAACCTCTGTCGAGAATAGTTCATCAAACACCTTGAACATTAGACCACACCGCTACGGGGAGAGACATCCCTTTCTGCGACTTCCGATGTGGATAGACCGTTGAACACTGCTCCGCCTTGCGAGTTGACAAGGACACCAAGATAATTGTTTCCTCCACAAAAGCGCGTCTTCCTTCCGCTGAGAGTATGAGGAGGTTCATCAACAGCCAGACGTAGATGGTATTGTTCTACTGTGCGCAAGGGAGACGACTGAGTCCGCGAGACTTTCAAGCCATCCTCATCAACACGTCGTGGATGGCCAAAACCCACGCGCAGTTTGAGGAGCTTCTGATCCGTTCCCACGCGAGATTCGTGTTGTTGGTGTGGTTGATACGTGGCCTCTGCGTCACTCCTAACAAAGGTTTCCTGGCTGTTTCCCTCTTGTTCGAAGTACGGTTAGGCCCTCTTGACCAGATGTCGTCACCAACAATAACACTGCTACAGAAGGCGAGGTGAGCGTCTCGCCTCGCCACCACTTCTTCCTTGATACAACTCGATACTCGCTATGGGCTTGCATGAACACACAGACACGAGCGCGTACTCAGTACGCACTGGCGTGATCCGCGGCTACGCATCTCGAGTACATTGGCGGCGTTACGCGCGGCTTACACAGCAGATATCTCGCATGTTTGTCTATGTGCGTATAAAGGTGATATATAGCTCTTGCCAATAGCAAGTCGCAGACACAACATGGCCTAGGCTTGCTCAAGACAAGGACTTGATGTTGCTTGCTACAGCAGTACACGTACATAGCAGACCCAACTGTAGTGTAGACATCATCACTGCCACCAGTGATCACTAGCCCCAGATAACTGGCGAGGTCAACTCTGGCCCGTAGATCTACGGCCGTAGATCTACTCACTCCGCTAGTGTCTTTCGCTAGGTTACTGGTACGGCTGAAGTCTGCAGTGAGCTGGTGTTGTACTGTAGTTTGTGCTCACGCTACACGATTTCGAGCGGTTGCCAGCCGGCGCTGGAGACAGGGACTTGTGTGCTCGACTCTTCTTGCCTCGCTAGGCAGTAAATCTCGCATGCCAAAGGCTACACGTCTAACTTGTAGTGTGCGACGCGACCGCCACTCCGTGTCTACCCTGCGCAGATTGCCGTGGCCTAGCGCCATTGAGCGCGTCAAAGCAATTGTACATCACCTATAGCAAGGACGAGTAGTCACCCATTATGCTCTGGATCGGTTGCATGATGACACATAATAGTAGAATGAACATGCATGGTCCACAGAGGAGCTCCTATTCAGTAACGTTCTTGCGGAACATAATCAATTGATGTGCTATCTGATCATCACTGATATTTAACTAAGCTTCACATTCGCTGCAGACTGCAGAACTAACTAATACTTGCACTTCTGTCCATCAGTGTGGAAATTATTGCGTACACGATGTCACCTACTGTCTGAACACTGAGTGTCGATTCCTGTTGATTGCTTCTATCAAACTAAAACGCCATAGCAAAACAGTGATGCGGCCAAACGTTAATTTCATGGAAATGGCGCTGATGGGCAGTTTTGATTTCAGTAAGGAGGTGCCAATTAGTAATTAGCCCTTGGGGGATGATGCCGGCAGAAAAATCGGCAGAATTGGGTACATTCAAGTTCTGGTATGTTTCCTGCATGCTTGGTATGTGGATAAAGAAATGGAGCAGAATGCAAGGATGTGCCTGCCACATGGTTTTGTTTTGTTTTGCCAGTTCCACTGCTTTTCGAGCAGAATCTGCCAACTTGTTGAGCACCATCCGCCTGCCAGTGCCAAGGACTGGTGCTAGTGCGTGCTACGGGAGGCTGTGAGCAACACACAAGCGAGAGCACAGAGTCTCTTTGGACTGTACGCGTACTGCAAGCTGTGAGGACGAGCTAGCAGCCGCGGAGCGTGCATAAGGAGCCGATGATCCATCCCGGGCTGATTGGGTCAACCGGTTAAGCCAGTGCAGGCTAAATTTTATTTTTCAAGGAAACCCTTCGAAAATGGTACCAATCGATTCAGCATGGCATTTTCATTCCTCCTGCAAAGTTTCAGCTGATTTGGAGTCATGACAAGGACGCTATGGCGATTTGAAGATCGAAAAACTTCAGTTTTGTTTGTCAAGAAGAAAGGCCATGATCGCACACAAATGATACAACCCGTGTGGCACAATGATTTTTGAACGAATTTGATCCGCGGACCCCGTGCTTCGCGCATGCATGCATACATACTGCACAGTACAGCGTCTTTTTTGAACGCAGATATGTAGTTCTTCGTCTTCTTCGAAATGTCTTCCAAATGCGTGGTGCTGGTGTTGTTCTCAGCTTCGTCAAGGCAGAATGCAGCTGCATGTGATGCTCCTGTGTGTTCATGCATGTTCTCTTTTCGCGTCTCGACATTGTAGCGTCCAGACTCAGCTCGACTGGAGAAGATTGAGGAGACTATGCTGTGATCCACATGGAAAATCAATGAAATTTGGTAATTATCGTCGGGCGCTAAAAAGCGCTGGGGAGCATGGGGCTAAAACTTCGTAGCAGTCATCCCTACCATGACAGGCATCGACTGGTATATGTTCCATTCTGTTCCCAACCACTACGGGTCGTCTGCGAAGCTTTCTTCTTCGCCGATTCTCGGACAGATCGTACGTCTTCGCACTGTATCTCTCCTCTCCCTCAACGGATCAAAACACAGTTTTCGCCAGGACGAACACAAACCCCCAGATTTCGCGGCGGCAACATCTTCGAGTAGGGAAAAGCTATAAGCTAACCAGGAATCACCAACAAACACGTGTAATACTCAGTGTGATTTGCGACAGCTGTCATTGTGCCGTCGCACCATGCATGTACCATGCACGGGAATGGAACACGGATGAGTCGTTTTATTACGACAGCCGGCCCCGGTCACCGTCACTTAAAGGGGAAGTGCATCGATTTTTCAAGTAGGGCTCAGATGAAAGACAATTGGATATCGGTTCCGATGGTATATCTCTCGCTTGCGTACGGCAAGGGAAACTTGCCATATCGCCGATTTCCTGATCCCGTTTCCATGGCGACTACATGTGATGACGCACATTCTGCTTAGCTCCGTGAGAGAGAAGGTCGATCACTGCAGAATTGTGTCATTTTCAGTTGTCTTCTTGTATTCACGAAGTGAAAGAAGTACTGTGTTCAATGCTGTTAGTACCGTGAACTGTTTATTAGTAGTCCTATCCGTTGTGTACTGGGACGTGACACCGACAGGGGAAAGCTGGAGTGCGGAGACGTTAGCTGGCAAGCGAAAATCGTGACGAACCAAGTGCTGAAATCTTGGTTGGGACAAATCAAACGTTCAGCATTTACCTCAACCAAGGGCCATGCCGTTTGCTCTTTCCACTTCCTGAAGATGGATGCGCTGCCTGCTGGAGACTCTCCTATCTCTCGTAACATCTTCTGAAGCCAGGTGAGACGACGAGTAGCGGAGATTAGCGAACGAAATAATGTCGTATGTTTTGAAATTTTTGCTGAACATTTCTCAGGAGAGATGGCGAATACCAAGCATCTTCTCCTAGTCTAGAGAAACCATTTCGTAGGCTACATTCCGCCTAGGGAAATGGCTGGGGAGGACACACTTGGAGGAGAACGAAGTGTGTGATCTTGTTTATGTTGTTCTTTGGTATTGCAATCTTATGTTTGACGAACATACGGCATGGTGCATAGTTGGTCGTTGAGTGCCTGCATGTGCATGTATAAGTGTGTGCTGATAAACACTTCCTATGCAAGAATCTGACACTCATGCTCTCTTTCTTTCTTGCAGTATGTGCGCACGTGTGTGTGTGCGTGTGTGTGTGTGTGTGAGTGTGTGTGTGTGTGTGTGAGAGAGAGAGAGTGCGTGTGCAGGAGCAGCGTGGAGCATGCCAGTGTGATCGCTGTGGCATTCTTGCCCGTCACAAGTGTGTGGCTCAGCCCCCAACGACAGTGGAGCCGTGTTGTGGTGAATACTGTGTGTCCCGCGACCGCTGCTTCCGTTCGGTCCAGGGCAGGAATAGACACCGCTGCTGAAGCTCTCCCCGGCCGTACGTCAGTCTCGTGGCAGATGATCCGAACTCTCATTTTTTGTGTGTGTGTGTGTGTGGTGTATTTATGTGTGTTGCTCCCTACGTAGCCGGACAAACTCTTGTTTTTGTGTCCCGGGCGCCTTGGGGCGGCGTTCTCCCATTTTCTCTCCACTGCCCCTCCGAGCCCACGTGGCTGTGACTCGACAGGGCAGGGCAAGTGTGTGTGTGTATGGCGCATGGTGTGTGCTGGCATGTCTGTATAAATATGTTGGACAGGAATTTGTTCACCCACAACGTTGACGGAAAACCATGCTAGGTGTTGCTGGAATGTATGGAGTCTGCGAGCACTAACAATAACTTGCGTCATGTCACAACAAAGAACGGTGCAGTGTTTGACCCTCATGTAAACATGATGGTGAGGGTACCTCACCTAAGCTACCCATGAAGCTAGAAAGAACATCAGGTCAACAGAATTGTACCAGAGGAAAGCATCTATTGCCCGAACTTCTTCATATGAAATGAACAATACCCTTCTCCATAGAGACAACATGCAGATGAAGTGTATGGACAAATAATATAATAGGCCATTCACTGAGGGCATGGAATGATCTCTACGTGTAGATTGGATAGACACATGCACGTCTGCAAGGAAAGCATTTGTTCATGGGTTAGTTCATGGGCTGATTGAGTTCACATGGACTAAGTTCATATAATGCCATCTCTCCTGAGCAGCAAAATTTCAAAACGTACGACATTATTTCGTTCGCTAATCTCCGCTACTCGTCGTCTCACCTGGCTTCAGAAGATGTTACGAGAGATAGGAGAGTCTCTAGCAGGTAGCGCATCCATCTTCAGGAAGTGGAAAGAGCAAACGGCATGGTCCTTGGTTGAGGTAAATGCTGAACGTTTGATTTGTCCCAACCAAGATTTCAGCACTTGGTTCGTCACGATTTTCGCTTGCCAGCTAACTTCTCCGCACTCCAGCTTTTCCCTGTCGGTGTCACGTCCCAGTACACAACGGATAGGACTACTAATAAACAGTTCACGGCACTAACAGCATTGAACACAGTACTTCTTTCACTTCGTGAATACAAGAAGACAACTGAAAATGACACAATTCTGCAGTGATCGACCTTCTCTCTCACGGAGCTAAGCAGAATGTGCGTCATCACCTGTAGTCGCCATGGAAACGGGATCAGGAAATCGGCGATATGGCAAGTTTCCCTTGCCGTACGCAAGCGAGAGATATACCATCGGAACCGATATCCAATTGTCTTTCATCTGAGCCCTACTTGAAAAATCGATGCACTTCCCCTTTAAGGAACCCTGGATCTTCTTTTAGTCATGTTCCACCCAGGGAGTCGTAAAAGCCCGGAAGAGGACACGGGATGCGCACACGCGGGCGATGTTTGACTCAGGGAGTCGTAAAAGCCCGGGAGAGGACACGGGATGCGCGCACGCGGACGATGTTTGCCTCGGCCAGAAAGTGAAGCACGCTAGGCCGGCGCGGCCGGATCTGCTCGATCCACGGTACGGCGCTGTGCTCGTCTTGAGGGTAGGGAGTACTAAAATACCAATATCTTACAACTCCTGGTTGAGCCTATAATCCGAACCTGGTGTAGGCACCGGCGGATTATGCGGGCACAATTTTTGGCATTATTTGGTGGTTGAAAATTTGGAGCATAATTTGGCATCCTTTCGGAGGTAAGAGCATACCTACATGTA